TATCCATCAGCAGGGCCGGGGGCAAAGCCAGCAGCAGGAGCTTTGTCATCATAGCCAGCAGGGCCGGGGGCATAGGCAGCAGCAGGAGCTTTGTCAGCGTATCCATCAGCAGGGCCGGGGGCATAGCCAGCAGCAGGAGCTTTGTCATCATAGCCAGCAGGGCCGGGAGCATAGCCAGCAGCAGGACCTTTGTTAGCGTAACCATCAGCAGGGGCGACATAGCCAGGAACGGGATTAGGTGCCGGGATTATGTCGTCAACTTCTACATCAGGCACAATCGTTTTGCCCTCCCTCACACTGCCGTATTTAAAAGCCATGTTCAAATAGTCGTTGTTGAAGTAAGGTTTTTCATCGAACTTGGGGTCAAACTTGGTCACACCACCGAGGAAGTCTTTGTGCGCATCCTTTTGTAACTTAGTTCCTGCACATCGGTAGTACTTGTATGCAGGTTGAGCGCAGTACACGCGCACTTCGTAGTCCTTGCAGCCTTTGTACCCGTTATCCTTATTGAGGCACTGGAGTCCTTTGAAGGGCTCGCACGCGACTTTCAGTTTCTGCCCAGCTGCCCACCACGGGATGTCCGTACCGGCAACGCGGCACTGAATGACAGGGGTCACTTCTGAGCCTGGGAAACTGTTGTGGCACATAAACTGTAAAATGGAAAGTTAAGACCAGTCTGTCTACACCTTTTAAACAAGAAACATTAGTGTCATTTACTTTGAAAACAAAACTAGATATATCTACCACACAAATTTACAACACTTACACAAGAATAATTTGTTCTACGAATTCCGTCACTTTATATATTGATATGGAGATATGATAATCGTAAATAAAATAGTTCGGCCAACGGAAACCCGTGTCATAAAAAAGAATTTAAGAAATAGAAAAACTATATCTTGAAGCCGTTTATTTTCTCAAAGTAATTTTTAGCAGCATCTGCAAAGTTGCTCTCAGCAGCACCACAATAAAAATTTAAAAAATGATATATGTATCACCTCTGGGTCAAGCAGCAGTTCGTTGTCACCATCGCCGCTTTTTGGACTGTCGAAACTGATCCAGTCGGTGAAGCCTATAAGGAAAAAAGACCTGTTACGCTTGGCAGGAATATCGGAGGAAATGCACCAACCCCTACAGATATACCTGCCACATTCAGTAAGAAGAGGACTGTAATATCAGCTGAAAACCACTTGTCATTGATTTCCAGAATTACTAGACAGCAAAGCTATATACAGACACTTTACGGAAGGGGCGTTACCATGGCTTCATTTAACACAAACAGGCACATTCCAGGAAACGTAAACTTTTATGAAAAAAAAAAAAAGAATACGATTATTCGTAAGGCACTTGCATTTACCAACTCCTTCGCAGCCCCCCCCCCACTCCCCAATTAAAAGAACTAAAAGAAAAAAAACACTCAGCTAATTTAAAGTAAAACGAAAGTACTGTTAAGCATTCATGGGAACACATGAAAAAAATCAATTTTAAGTAAATACAAATACGGTTTGAAAGTTAGAGAGAACAGCAGATGAGTCAGACAGCGACAGCGACGCAGTTGATATATACAAACACATACAGCACCTGTATATAAAAACCGGTCCACGAAATGAAATTTTGACGCAAATAAGATGCAATTTACACATTTCCCTGACACCATGAATGATAGCCTGAAACTACCTGACCATCATTCTATTGTTCTCGACCTGTAAACACACGTTTTAGGCATGCATTTGAAAATACATTTTCTGAAAAAAATTATTACGTGTGCTTTACGTGTCACTGGTGTTTCTTTATTTATTAAAGATCACTAAATTCCTTGCTTTTTCGCTTAATTAAGATGTGCTTTTAGCAGGTCGTTGATGTCATCATTTGAAAATGAAAACACAGACTTATAAAAAAGGAATACCGCACCTGAGTTCTGCCTAAAACACTGTCCGGGGTAGTCAGCAGTACAAGCGGGCTCATCTACACCGCAGATCGGGTACTTGGTGTAGGAAGGGCCATTAATGAAGCCGTCGTCAGTCCGGGCCCCGTTAGCGCACGACATTTTGGTAGGTCGTAGATTTCCATAGTCATCAACATTTTCACACCTGTAGAAGATGTTGGCGTACATAGCATCTGCTATGAAGTCTCCTAGTTTGCAACATTCCGTAACTGTTGAAATGAACGCAAGTAAAATATTGAAAGATCGCAATACACTCATTTTCCATATATAGACCCATTTATCTTTTTTTTTTAATTTCAATTAAAACTAAGCAAGCCGACGAATTATTTGTTCGAGTGGAACTTTACTAACATCCGTCTAGCAACTTAAAAAATTATTACTATATTTATCTGTTCTCGCACAAAAAACATAAGCGTACTAAATTTTAAACCTCCGTTACTGTTAATCGCAACAGAATCTCACATTCTCCAATCGATCTACATGTAGATTATTGTAGTGCAATATAACATAGTACAAAATTTGCAACTTGTCAGGAAGGCATCAGGATGGCTAACGTCTCAAAAAATGTCTGGAATGTTTATTCTAAATTACTCAATAAATAGTTTGCGGCTACTTTAGCGGTGTTAAAAATTGAAAAAAAAAAACTTCATTAGGTCTTTTGGCGTAAGTCATCTTTTTTAGTTGTTTGATGATTTTGTACTATTTTAGCCATTAACAAAATCTCCAATTCAGTTTCATCCATTTTTTGGCTAGACTATATGGTGACAGGGACAGTTTAATGTTTCACAAGAAATACAGCAAAACGGCATTATTTTAGAAAATAATTTGCAAAACCTTCGTTTCTTGGCATTGTGAAAAAATATATTAAATGAAAAATCTTTAAAAATACCGAGGGATTATTTATTCCCGAAACTGTATAAATTTCCACACGTTTTCTCTCGCTGCAGAAACGCAAACCTTAAACTGGTAGATAAATTAAGACATTGCCATAGTTTTCTCTCTTACTTTCTGTATTTTACAAATAGAAATTTACCCGTTAAACTCATTCACATTACCTGGATACGATGAAGGATTTGACGCGTTCACAACCAGCGCTAGGCTAAGTGCGCTCAGTACGAAAATGGCCAGCATGGCTCCAATGCGGTGGCCAACTTTTCCAACCTTTAACAAACTAATCAAGCTAAAACGCCACCGATTTTTATACGCCGTTTATCGATGACATCGGGTTATCGGAGTCCAAGGTGTTGAGGTCGTAATAATGTTAAGATCGCATGTCACATTTGATGTGATATTTTTATATGATAGGCAGCTATCACACCTCTGGAATTCTTGTAGACAATGCCGCTATCGTTTTGGCTATGACTCATGGAGACTGACACGAATTATTAACACTGTCAATTTCACAGAGCAATTTATATATTTTAAATATATCTTCAGGTGTATTCAGCATCTTTTTTTGTGACAGACAATTCAAATTTGTTCTACAAAGTATCTTCTTTGAAGTTTGTACATGTCTTAATATACGTGACAAACTATACAATCTGTTTTACATTCATTAGGATAATGACAAACTTGAGACGTATAGATTTCGTTACATTAACAAGAATACTGTAGACATCATTATGCCAAATGAATTGCACTTAATGTGGAAGAAAAAAAATAACATTTTAAAAACCTTTCAGGTAACATATTTACATCTTTTTCTTTCTATCGAATATTCAACTTGCTATCTCATAAATATTCGTTGGAAATGCGCGATTTTGTAGAGTCACAGACGATGCTTAAAGTAAACTGTGTGGTCAGATTAGATGGCTGTGACAATGCGGGGCTTTATTCACTTATTGGACTTCTCACGGGGCAACGACCATAATTTTGCAAAGGAAGACGTTCAGATATGGGTAAGATTGAATGGAGATGACCTTTTAGCATTAAAGATGAAAAATCTTTCTTGGCGTCATTTTTTAAACCTCAAATTGTACGAAGTGAAAAATACTCCATTACTTATGTAGATAAGAGACTAATGGACAGGGCATCCAGTAAGGTTGGTACCTTTCTGACGGTCAGACAACCTTTTTGATTTTACGTATATTTACATATATCCTGGTGCATATATATTCTTGCAACCTCCCCGCAGTACTTTTTTTTTACTGGTATGGTTATATTAACTAACTAGGTATACTGGACAAGCATATTTCACGCGTTAGCACACTAAATAGCAATTAACCTTTGCAATTTGTTGACCTACCATTGATAAATTTGTCTATCATATGAGGCTAGCAAAAAGTTCTCAAAATATTTATAGAATTACAGATAATACTACTGATTCTATTTTAAATTAAAATTTTCATTTACAGGTGGGTGTGCTGAATACGTAAACTTAAACACAAGCGTCTAGTTCTAGTTCTGGGTGGGAAACTGTGACACTGGTTACTTTTTAAAGTATAGAACCAACTACTAATATTTCTTACACTACTTCATAAAAGAGAATAGCACCAACATCACTGTTAAGATAGGAATCGCTTCACGGGACTGCAACCTGCAGAACAAGTGAACTAAATTGCGACAGGTTAAGTCACAACTATCACAATTTGTTACATACTCTATATCATGCAGTATTTTTTAAGTGTGGTTAACTGCACAGGAAAACATGAGTTCAAAGAGGTATTCGTGATTTAGTTTTAATACATCGATGCATGGAGACAAGTTATACCTGTGATAGCATAGATGACTGTGACACCTTTATAGATGTATTTTCATTCTAGGTACCCTGCGCTAATATGCAAAGCTGCATGTGCGTTGCATTTTTTCCACGTAATCGAATCACCATCTCTGTTCCATATTTGTATCATCGTGTGAATTATTTTTTGCAGTTCACTTTGCTTTAAGCTAAGCACAGACACGTACGTTGTGAACTTTTCGGTATCTTTTGGTCCTTGAAATAAATTAAATCCATGATACATGAGAATAACAAAAATATCAACTTCACCAAAACAGCGCATGCTTAAAAATAGCATTAGTAAAGGTAATATATAATTTGATACGATATCTATGATATTTTAATATTTTTAAACGACAAATTACAGAAAGAGCTTTATCTGGAAAAAAAAAGAAACTCATGCAAATTTAAGGAAAGGATCTTTTCTTATTGAGAAAACGATTAATCAGGATTTAATCTCTCAGATTACTACGAAAATCGATAACACCGAGTAGTTTTTCCAATAATTTCGATTGTCCAGTGCACGTAGAGTTACGTCCATCGTGTGGTCAGTTAATTATCAGGATCGTGGCGACACGGCGCTCCTGTTAAGGGTGGACTACTGACTGCTCTCACCTGCCTGGCAACCCAAGGGGAAGTTTACGCTTTTTAATCTGACCACCGAGATTAGTGTGTATACTCGCACCTGCGACAGGTCTGTCCTCTGAATGGTTCGAGTCACGTTTACACTCGACCAAATATGGATTGTTTTTTACATGCGCCTTGCATGCATCTGTTTGAAAAGTTTTTTTTTGGCTGTGGAGTTAGTATTCACTTTTTTCCAGACACAAGTTGTCTGTTTTGGGAGATATGGTCAACGTTTTCTCTTATTGCCTAAACACACTTTTTATAAACCAGGATCTAGAATGAAACGCTCCAGTTTGTACCTGTAAATGTCTCATGCTCTGGCAAGTTTTATGTCCGTTAAATGGGTCAAAGACAGTATTCCGGCAAATATTTAATTAAAAGATGTAAACCTCATCTGAAACGTTACGTTAAATGTAGAGGGTGTTCCTCGGTCGTGTCGACAGCACCTTTCTACAATCGGAAAACGTGATACAACTGTTGACATAACAGCCCGCTTACTTGCAAACAGGCAATGCTGTTCACTGTGTATTTTTCCAAGAATAGAAAAAGGAAGTGCAGTACTTATAAACACCGTAATCCATATTCCTCTTATATATCTTTGAGGCATGAAATCTGAATAAGAAAAATGTTGACTTGTGAAAAGCTGCATTTTGGACTTTCAAGCAGCAAGGTCATAGAAATACGTACTTCAAAAATTACACCTTACGTTATTAAATACGCTTCCGTTTCCTCAAAAAAAAATAAATAAAATAAATATTTATTTTAATTTCAGATTTTTGAATTACTCTCTTAACATTCATGAATATCCCTACTGCCTTATTTTGTGTTTAAAAGCGTGTGGAAAAGGGTAAGTGCCAGACTCAAGGTTAGATAGCAAAAGTCTGTAAAGTCGTCTACGTGCTATAATTTGAAATCTGGGATTAGAAATATCTTTCTTTGACCATTTGAATTGCTTTCCAATAGCGCTTACAATTCTTCCAGTAATCCATGTAATCTGCTACCAGTTTATGGTCGCTAATCTAGAGGTAAAAGGGGAGTTATTCACAAATAAAGATAAGCTGCAGTAGAAACTTTGTTACAAACTTAAGTATTATAGGACAGTCTATCCAATGTACTACGTTCATTTCCTAACATTGGTATTGTGTCATTAATAATATATCTGCGGTGCAGGGGGTATTTTTACAATACAGCTATAAAAGTGGCATAAAGCCCAATATAATTACTGACCACATTATAGTAGTCTTAGCTTCTTACTTTATTAATTTCTCAAATTTTCTTTGACTCTGGTCTTGGTATAGATAACTGTATGGTGTTGCAATATACGTAATATACATTTATCAACATAATGTCATTGATTAACACTTTCGTACACAAGAGTTCATTAAAATATTTTTGTCTCAATTTTTTTCGCCGGTGGAGGTGCATAGTATTTAAGAACAAAAATATTTCGTGCTAATCAAACGTGAACATCGGCAATTTCCATCGGCGCACGGTGAGGTGCTCTAATTTTTTCCTCCATGACATTTGGTGATCAAGATGTCGATCTCATAGTTGCCGCATTGGTTATTTGAAGTACATTTGTACGTGTATATGCATTTCTTTATGATACTTTCTACAACAAAAACTTTATCTTATTACCCCTCTCGCCTCTTATGGAGTTTTTGTTGGTGTAGAAATAGCATGCACACGCACTCGGGAAAACACACACATTTTTAACGCACGCACAACACATATTAATTCGCGCGGGCGCGCACATATGAAGAAAGGTGGAATGTATTACATTTCTTTACGTGTGGGTCTTCTCCTACGTGCTCATCCTACATACAGTTTATGTCCAATAGGCGGATGCTTGGTATACAAACATGTCATGGTGGACCTTATCTAGTCCAGTGAGGGAGTAACGTCCGTTATCTGGGTAGGAAATAGCAATGTTTTTATTCAAAATGTGTACTGGAGACTCAAAACATATTTTCTATGACCTTGCTACTGGCGAAATGTAGTTTTAAATAAATCTTCAAAATGTTGGGTCTGGTTATTGCTGGTGCGGGGTAAAAAGTTAAGCGTGTTACACAGGATGGCGGATGTATAACATAGCCATAGATGAGCACCGTATCCCCGGTCATTCCTGTTGTCCTTTCCTGGAATGCACGCCCATGCATGCATCTGTGGCATTCGTGCGTCTCTAAACACACTACACCTATGCGTTTTATTTTGTTGAGTCTGTGGATTACTCGGCCGAGGCCTTGTCCCATTGGAAGATAGCAAAGTTATCTAACTAATACCTACATCAGCGGACAAGAATGTAAACACCTGACGTAAACAAATGTACGGAATAAAACTGACATGTTTAATTGATCATAGATAACACGGGAGAGATTCACACTTGATGTACCAGAACAACCTACATGTACCTACCAGCATAGCTCTACAACCTGTGCCACAAGTGTCACTGAATTAGGCGATCTCTCTTCACTGCCATACAGATCTAGACCTCAAAAACTTGAGTGAAACTGGAGAGATTACTTGGGGGTTCACAGAGATTTGATTCACTGTAAGTATCATTATGTAAAAAATGTAATTATGCAGATTTTGAAAAGCGCTTAGAATTGCAGAATTTTAGGCCAGGACTAAGAAAAGGGTCGAAGTGCTATTTGGATGAATAGCATGCCCGTGAGGACAGCTGGTTTTGTGTGATCAAGGGGATTTGAAAGATTGATATTACATGCTGTTCCTGTGGAACGGTTTAAAATGAGCCCTTTGAATCCATCGTTAAAATAACAGCGTCATCAAGCTAAATAAATTTATCATTGCAACGTATACACTGCGCCGTAATTTAATTGATATCATCAGCAGGGTTATGGCATCATATTGACAGGACCTATTACACCTTATCATAGAATTATCATTGAACCTTTGTCTATATTACCAGATATATCTTGTGCATGCAACATAATCTAAGCTTACGAAGAGTTTATCCAGGCAAAGTGATATGCTCCACCTCTATTTCTCTCTCCTACTTTTGATCAAATTGGAGGAGCAATGAGAAAATTTGTATTTATTCACATATCAAGAAAAATATTGAGAAAAAAATAAAATTAAAGATTTGGATTGTTTATTTTCATTTTTTAGATACACAATTGTTTTAGAGAAAGAATGTGGTCTGAAATGAAAGATTAAAAACACAATAACCAGCTGACGGTAATCCAAATTAGCAAATTAGCTTTGATGAATAGGCTTATGCGTTATTAAACTTTGATCTAGAAGTCAAAGGTGTAGCTCCATCTTAGGTGACAGGTAACACAGAAATTAATCTGAGCAGCTCTTAGGATTAGCATAATATTATGCAAGCTGTTGTGTTCTTACCTAGTTCAAGAGACCCCAAAATAGCATGGCAGCATAAATTAGCTATTTTAATAACTTGACCCCGGTCAGCACTCAGCGTACCTTTTCTATGTAATATATGTTGAGGCGTAGAATGCGTGAAATTGTTAATATAACTTGCCCCATTCAAATACTGTTTACTTTCTTGTTATAAAACTGAATTCAAATTAAGAGGCTTTAGGGAGATTCTAATCTTCCTTCTATATCTCATATCAACGTCATAACACAAAATATACATTTAAACCTGTTGAAATAGTTGTATATTCTGTATAAAGACGGGGTTGGCCCTGAATATTGACGCTTAACCCACAACTTAATGGTTTGATGTAAAAGGGGACACGGATAATCAAGGATACAATAGTAAATGTAAAAGCCAACATTTGAGGGAAAAAAAGTGTCGCTTTCGGGTCATCGTATCTATTATGATATATGAGCCGCCTAAACCCTAGCCAATCCCTCCATCCCTGCCCCTTTCAAGTCCCCCGTCTCATTGACTGCCAGGCCACTGTTTCGGTGTCCCTTACCAAGCAGAGCGTAATACGCATTGTACTGCAGAGTGTATTTATTTAACAGAATATCAAGAGATCACGTTGTAACTATACCTCGTTTTCCACCCCTGGGTGCGCCTATTTTACGCGTATTTAACGGGTAACTAAGATGTAACAGAAATTGAAATGTAATACACGAGGAGCTCGCGTCAATGTGCCTCACCGTCTGTGTGTGAGTGCATGTTGTGCATGTATGCAGATCACAGGTCTTACAGCATAACGCCCTGGGGGATTTGCACGGAGCAGGTTTTCTTTTGTTTCATGCTCGTCACGTTAATGCAGCATTTCTTTCGGGGGGATATTATACTGTTAATTTCATCAAGCGCAACGACGCCGATATTATAATAAGAGCATTTTGCCAAAGTTCGCACCAGATACCAGGAGATCGCAGTAGCACACTTATTCGTGGGTAAACACGCTATCATTATTCTATGCGCGGGACAAGCGGCAGTGGCAAGACAAGGTTGTTCGCCGCTGTGCAGGGGCAGTATAAGAAGACTGGACGTTATTTTGTGCTAAAATGAAATTTATCATTGGTGATTTTTTAACAGTGAGAGATTACCTTGACCCACACAGGAAAAAAAAAATAGAATTACGATTGGTTAAGAGGCTTCGAACGTCAAGAAAAGTAGCACAATCATCTGGAGCACGCGATGTAAAATTGTGCATACCGTTGTCTTCACACCATAGGACTTTCCGGTATTTTAGCGTTTTGTGGCGACGTCCCGCTCTGGCAACACTGGGGACAAAGGCCATGAAGTGCAATTTTTGAAGTAAGGCGGGGTAAACCCGCAGGACTTGAAGGACAAAGTTACTGTGTTAAGCAGTCTTCTGTGTAACAAACACGCATTGACTACCGTAACGGAATACGCACTTTCTACTCGCCAAAGAGGGATTGTCGTTGCGATTAATGCTGCATACGTAAGTAATTCGTTGGGTAGAAATTTGAGACTCCTTAATCTTAATTTGCCAAGCCAATTGCTGTGTATCAGTTTTATTTCGTGCACTTTCCTTCGTTGTCTTGATCACCAGAATAATAGATTGTCACATCAGATGCTGAGATCATCTGTCGTTTTCGAGGTCTCAATCACGAAATGTGCAAATGTGCTTCAACGGGTGGCGTATTTGTTGATCTCGATTGTTTACCGTGCCTCGGTACATAATCATTTGTTCCTGGCGCCGTCGAAATACCTAAAACATTCACGAGGGTTAGTTAAACGCAATTAATCACTTGAAATGATCTTGACCAGAGAACGCCGGTTTTAGGAGAATTCAGAACAAACTACTTAATGCAGCGGTTGGGTGTTTATTCAGCTCGTGCCAGTGTTGGAGGGTTTTCAGAAGGGGTCCTTAGCCCCAGCATCATCATCACCTTAAGTCAAGATTAATTCAGGGATTTCCAAAAAGTAATCCGAAATTTTTGCCAGCAACGAAAAGAAATTTTGGACAGAAAAAGTGTGACAAAGTGGTGAATTTTACATGTTACTTATTTTCAAAATTAAAAAAGCGGGCGTGGAGTTCAACAAAAGTAAAATCTTGACCAGAATTACAGAGAGCAAGGAACAAGGTTTGTATTGACAGTCTGCCTATGTTACGCCACCTGGTGGTTGGTTAATTGGGTAATCAAGAAAAAAATTAAAGTGCACCATTATCTAGATGCTTTTTATGTATATACAAGACAGTCAGAGCTACCGATTTAGTTTTGTTGATTATATAGTGCACGTTAGTATTCCCCTCAGTTTTTCAGCTAACGGCGAAGACTGCTGGTAACTATTAAATTTTACTCTGTTGCTATGGAGTGACTTACATAGAGTTTTGGCTGGTTTCATGTTATCTGATTTAGATTAATGACGAACATGCATTTCCACTCTTGTCCGTTTCCAGGGAGATAGCTATTTCTATGTCCGTTACTCCCGCAGTTTTGACTGTTCAGAAAAGTGGGATGCTCCCATGACATCATATGGGCTGTCCCTGTGATATACGACTTGGGAATATCAATGAAAGTCACCCAGCAGACGACAACCAAAACCAAAATGTCCTCGCCTATTCTGAGGAAACTCTCGGGGTCCAACTCCAACAAGACAAGGACATTGCGGATCATCATATTGGGACAGGGGGCAGTGGGGAAGTCAGGTAAGTAAAATAATTTAAGTGAGATTCCTTAAATTTATCCAACTATCTCCTTAAGTAGTTTTAGTACTTGCAGGCGTGTATTACCAGTGGTGAGCCAGCGCCAGCGTGCGTTTATATAATGCACATTTATTTCATGAAATCTAGGAGTGGCGGGTCCTAGATTAAATACGTTTATGTTCCTAACGATATTTATGTCTAGGAATGAAAAAAATTAATGTTTAATTTTTTATTGCATCTCACACATCTGGAAACACGCTGACATTAAATTCAACAAGTCCTTTAGTGTAAGTCATATGACATGTGGAGGCCTACTTGTTATATCGTAAAAGGTAAATATATTTTCACATGACAAAAATGGCAGTCTCTAGGTGAGGAACTTTTTTCCCCTACTGTACCACATGTAGAAAAGCTCCGTATTTATTGGGCTCTTGGCTGAGGGCAGATTCCACTAAGTTTACAGTTTTCCCAGCGAAAATTGCAAGCACAGTTTTTGCAGGATTAAAGTGTATCGTGTTTTGTTTATCCAACTGTTATACGTAAAAAAAAAACACATTAAATTGTCATGTCAGTGGACGTCATGGTGGCAAGTAAAAAATTAAGATTATAATTAACACCCTAATCTATTCAAAAACTAAATATTGTCTTATGAATTATCAATGCATCAGGTAACATTTCATCGCAGTAATCAAGCAGCTAAACATGGGTGAATAGGACATGAAATGTTTATCAACTTCCCTCTTATTTAGGCCAGAGGCGGTTATTAAACCCTGATTGTGAGCAACCAGACGGTGACTTCTCCGCCACAGATCAGAATCAGGATTCTGATCCAGAATAAACATCACGTTACTGACACTGAGGGCGGTGATGTTATACATCTCAAAGAAAAATCACCAATTTTGAGACATAAAATACATCGACATCGGCTATCTAGTCTGTATTGACGCCTGTTGTCGTGTGAAAACCACATTAAACCTTCATGTTCAGTGCGTTTACCAATCTAAGTGAATATAACTGACCTAGATGGTCGATGAGATGGTTCTATGATGGAGGTTTAGGAAAGATGGAGTGATTTTTTCTTAAAAGTGGAAATGGGGAAATGGTTCATAAAATCCCTTTTCAGTCTTCTTCCTGTCTCCATAAATGAATAAAGAAGATGTTGACAATGTTTAGGATGATTTCTATAGCCGTGTGCTCTTATATTTATCTTTATTTATTTTTTCCTTGAAAAAATATTCACTCCCGTTATTATTGAAACCCTGTGCGCACTGATTTTTGCAATTTTAAAAGCTTTTGGTTGCATCATACACTACCAATACCACTTAAACACTACAAACAAATATATCCAGTCGTAGAATAAATGGTCTTTGGTATTTTGGCAATTTGCCAGGAAATGTTTAGTGGGTTTATTTCTGTGAAAGTCTAAGTTTAATAACGAAATTATCTGATACAAAGGCCATACATCGCCCGGCACAGCCCTGTGCCTCTCTGATTTCCAGACCAAATGCACTTTCGTTAGTGCAGAATAACAAATTGTGTTTCACAGGAAACAGACTGAACTCAAGAAATGTAGACTATACACTAATCTGTGAGAGTCTTGGTCGTAAAACTTACAGACAACATCCACCAAAAGTGAATATGCACCTTTTTGTCTGATTATACTTTCTGATATCTATTTTATAGATAAATGTCCAAAATTTCAAGTTACCCAGTGCCCGCCTTGTTTACTTTTTGTTGTCAAATATCGTCAAGTACCATTTTAATACATGTAGTTCTTTTTATCTGTTTATAAAACAATACTTACGATATAGAACCCGTATTCGGCCTCGTAAGATGTATATTTTGTGATACCAATAAAAGTAAGAGTGCACACGTAATAAAAGGCAGACAGAAGTAAAATTGGAAGATGTTCAAGTCAGGATAGATAGACGATTTAGATTGCAGACATTCGGTAGATATTGCCGGAAGGATATACTGCAAAATAATTGGTGGAAGGCGCATTGATAAATTGCCTTGCATAAGATTGCTCGACTATTTATCACATTTCAGATCCTAAAAACAAGTTTACAAAATAATAATAATAATAATAATAAATAAATAAAATAAAATAAAATAGACAAGTACACACTAAGAATCTCGCCACTGAATAACATAATTACCAGCTAACCAACTGAAACTTTACATATCTTCAGGATGGAACATACAGTTCTCAAAGATAAAATACTGATCATTCCAAGTAAAAAATATCCTGCTCACTGCCAGATGACATAGTTTAATGTGCCACATATCAAGCACCGAAGACCGCTTTTGGAAGACTCTGAAATTCTTTTAGAGTAAAAAATCCGACTGGCAGCAAGCACTAGGGTGAAAGAGGCATTTTCAGGGCGTTCTAAATATCTAGATTAATAACCCCTCTTACGGCCAACATTCGATTGACGCAATTACTATGTTACATCACTTCTTGTATCTAAAGTAGATGATATAGCTGTCATTTGGACACTGTCTGTAAACACGGTTATCTTGTATACGAGGTGCATTGAGGTCCTCACAGTCGTACTTGGGTACCTTATTGCTACTTCCAACTATAGCTGAGCTGATAACTAAACCGACAATTCATTATATATTCTATGGTGCGCTTTTTTTAAATTTCCATGTAAAATATAAGCTAAGTGTTTCAGGAAATGTACACTTTGGGAGAGGCATAAATGATAGGTTTATCTCAGGTCGCGGACTTATAGTTTGGCTATTTTTGTCATTAGAAGAGAACAGTAATAGTATATGATTCCTAACCTTTTATTTGTGCTTCATTTTAACTTTCAGTCAAACACAAATAATTCTTCTATCATCATAAAAACAAACTTGTTCCCAGATTCATAGCATCATCAAAGTTCCGAAATATGTCTGTATAGTTTTTGAATGAGGACTCTCCATGGAAGACAATATTAATTTACCACTTCATACTTTATATTTCAGCTTTAACTGTCCGCTATATCACACGCAAGTTTATAGGCGACTACGACCCGACACTAGGTAAATTGAAATAACTTCTTAGGTCTCTTTGTCGTGCCGACTCTGATTTTTAGATACAATGCGTGACGCAAATCTCTATTATACATTTACATACAGTGCGTGTATTGAGAACTGATTTCTCCAACACATTTGTCTATTTTTAGTTTAAATTCTGTGAGACTGATATACTGTATATATATATAGCTGAGACTGATATAATATTTGTTCAGTTTTGATATATACACAAATATCACAAATCATGAGTACTCAGTTATTGTGTTTTGTCGAATGAAGAAATGACATGGAAATAAATTGGCAAAAACCCATTATTTGAGGCAGACTCAGAGAAAATGTCCTAAATACCAAAAAATATAAAATACCTAATTAATTTATGAATCATACAAAGATATAATCTTGCAATTGCTCATATCGGTTCGGTTATTGGATATATATTCTTTTTCTTTTAGAACAAGTGTACAGTTTCCAGACGGTGGTGGACAATGACCACGTGATGTTTGAAATATTGGATACTGCTGGACAGGTAAATATATGGATAATGATTGTGAAGCAAGACAAAATATACCAATACAAGATGCTCATGGTACTGCCACAGTTGAGGCATTAATATTTCTACCTTAAACAAACAGAAATAACTGGCAGACGAATAGTGAAAAGGGACTAAAACTAGACACGAATTGCAGGCATTGGCGTCATTTAAATTCTCTAGTGAAAACCCGTGGAACATTTTGTTTTCCACTGTTGACACAAAAAGTGCCCTGAGAAAACTAGGTCTGACCCAGGGCCAATGGTATCCAAACATCGCCTACTGAAAAGCACAGCAGCAATAAACTGTCTACTGGGAAAGGTTTCTTTTTCGTGATTCCTAAGCCAAGAGAAACATATAGGGGTTCACCTCTTGGTGCCAGAATCCAATATTGCTTGTGAAAGGCTCAGGTTAAAAAGCACTTCTGGTATTCGATTGAAAATATCAGTAACAGTCGCTAAACGTTTCAACACATAGGTAATCTCTCTGGTCAGGATAGCACGTCCACTACCGTGTTTAGGTTCAGTAAAATATTGTGTTAGAGATGACGAAAGGAATTTTTAAACACAATGCTCATTTGTCAAGAACACAAAGTACAGTGTAGTAGGACTAATCCTTAGGGCATCAAAGGTATTAACATCAACCTTCTTCCATTTCAGGACGAAGAGCATATGAAACTTGAGGAAAATATTCGTTGGGCAGACGGTTTTATTCTAATGTACTCCATAACAGACCGGGTCAGCTTCGAGGAATGTGCAAGAATGAAATTTCTTATTAACTTTAGCAAGCGTCAGAGGAAAGTTAGCACTGGGGCTCTTGCTCAGAGTCGAGACCTTCCTGTCGTTTTAGTGGGAAATAAAAGTGACCTTACTTTTGAAAGAATGGTGAGTTTTGAAGAAGGTGAAAAATTCAGTTTCGAAATCGGATGTACAAACTTCCATGAAATATCTGTCAGGGAATCTTATGAAAGTGTCAGATGTGTTTTTGAAAATTTGTATCGTGACTGGAAGAGTTTACGAAAAAGCCCCGGCTCTCTTCGCCGGCATCTCCCGTCGGTTACATCTCGACCACGCGAGAGGGCAGCGACGGTGTCGTCCTCTAGTAGTGAGGACTTTGATATAGGGGTTTCCCAGTTTAAGGCTCGCAGGGGAGCGATGACTGGAACTGTGCCGCAGACGACAGACGTTGTGAATGGCGGGAACGGAATTGTGAAAAATAACTCTATTTCCAGGAGGTTTTATAATCGAGTTTTTAGGAAAGATAGTTTTCTGCAACTTCAAGAAGATGCTTTGGAGAGCTCTGCAAACTCAACGTCCTCTGATGAATGAAACCTTGATATGATGTGTATTTGCATTTATACCCAACACATAAAAGTACTAAGAAATATTATCAAATGACGATTTCTTTCCTTTTAAATACTAAGTTATGTGTTAACGAGTAAAGTGCAGAATATTATAAACAATCGACGTTTTAAAAAAGAATTTGATTGAAAAAACACATTATCTTTCCAGATGGACAGACATCAAGAATAAACTATTTTGTCAATCAAATTTGACTTTTGCGTTATCCTTTTTATTTTTAAAGTGGTTTACTCAAAATTTGAGAAGGTCAATGGCAGTGACATTAGACATTTATAGTCATTGCAGGTTCTTTTGTCATTTACAGAGAAAAAGCGAATGTAAAGTTTACTGTTTGAAAGGGATATATATTTTGGTTTAAGCACTCACAATCAATTAGTTGAGGCCCCACTAAACAAAACATTAGTCTCCAAATTGTGTTGTCGCTCAACTAGCACATTTTTTAATACGGCTCGTTTCTGGCACCAGCTATATTTTAACGTCACAGACATTCCGTGTTGCTGTTCCATAAACGTTTCCAGGAACATCGATTTGCATGTTTTTTTCATCTTTTACACAACCAGGCCTACCGAAAGGGTTGAAAGGAGGAGAGGATTCACAAATGTGAATTTTTTCACTAACAATTTGTGAGTTTCATAATAGTCATCAAAGAAAAGGGATGCCTCCTTCAGACTGGGTGGAGCGTAGAACATGCGCTACAAACATCATATCTATATTGGTTCGGAATTCTCCGATTTCTAAACAAACTACAGATGTTTTCTCTGAACTCCATCAATAAATCTTGTAAGTTTCTGTTGTTGGTCAAGTGAACGCAGCAGCTTGGTAGAAATATTTCCTGCTTTTGTTCGCACTACAAGCCCGTTCCGCTACTGCCAGCGTTGCAGCGACAAGTGTGCGTCATGCCACCGTATTTCGAAACCATAGGCTTCCACGTTATATCTTTAGGACAACTTGTATCTTTTTGATGTTAAGGACGTTGTTTTCTAAATTTTTTAAAACTTAAGTTTTCAAAACCTTTCTTGTACAGATATCGTTTTCTTTAGAGACAAAAAAACCGTGATGTTCATTCTTTCCAGATCTAGTTAGTGCACAAAGTCGCTTTAAATCGAGAGAGAGAGAGAAAGAGAGTGTGTATATTTTTGTGCCATATGTTGTAAAATACAAAATAACACGAATAATTTACTGTCGACCTCACAGAAACGGTGAGACGATGTAAACAGCGCAATCCATTTCAGCTCTGGCCATGAGCGCCCGTTTATTCCAGGTCTGAGTTCCCGCTATTTATAGACAGTTGATTCAGACGGAACGGTGTTACAGCAGGCTCCACGCGACACTGAAAGCATTTTCAAATAGCCTACGAAAAAGGAAGTCAATGATATCAATGTTCACCCTGAGAGTGAAAAATGCTTAATGCAAAAAAAGGCAATTAAGGGATATGCAGCAGGGAAACGTAGGAGACTTATCTGTAATTGTCAACGTCAACGTCGAGCCTTGTCATGTCTGTAGCTGTTTTCTCCATTAACATTTTAAAAAGAAGTTGGCTATTTGAGGATAACACATGGCACTGCAAATACACTGTAACACCCGCCCCTTGTTGCAACTTTGTTTGTTATGCTAAATCGATCCACAAAACAACTTTGGACGGAGCGATGAAAACAAACCTCAATCGGCAAAGTGGATAATCAAATTATGGCAGGTCTTTCAAGGTTGAAGTCGGTATCCAAGCTATTCTACTTCCATTACACCGTCACCTGTCTTATAGATTACAACCCTCGCGTGAGAGACTTATATTTATCTATCCCTCGCGTTGATACCGCGGTAAGATTATACAGTAATCATTTGAGATGGAAATTGTGAAGTTATCACTGGTGCCCAGGGGTGGACAAGGGATTGGCAGGGGGGTACATTTTTTATAGTTGTAGCTCATGCGTCAACATGCTCTTACCTGCGTGAGACAGTTATCTTTGGTTGAACGAGATCGAATCGTAACTTTGTTAAATGCTATTAAATTTCCTGCATTTCACTTTTTTTTTTTTTTTGGCGCGTAAAACTGTAAAAATACTCAACTTTTTACTAACTCTGCTAATGGTTTGATGTAAACGTACGCGTCACTGAGAAACTTATTTGGTCGAGGTGTTTCAAATCGTGCCTTTGTATGGACGTATGACTTTTGACCAGACAATATCATTTTAACCTTGTTTTCATCTAAGCCAAAACATAATTGGCCTAATTTGTGTAGGAATCTCCCTCCCCCGGACATAAGTATTATTCTAATAGTTTATAATGGAAGGGTAAAATTACTCCCTACTACCACAGCTAGTGCGGAGGAAGAAGCCAATAGCATGGCCTGGGAGAAAAGCGACACACCAAAAACCATTTAGGAGAATAAATTTTGACATTTATGAGCATCAAAATGCAATATCATACAGTAGCAATAAGAATGATAACCCGAATTACCCCGGGCTTAATTCTACTGCTCAAATTATGGTATTGTTACAATACAAAGACATCTGATATCTGAGTCAAGATATGATAATAGCCAAGACTCCGTCGACTACTGCCATGCGTTTCATTACACAGTACTCCACCTTGGCCTTCATTATAACTATTTAGTTTTGAAAAGCGTCGAAACCTTGGTTGCGGGATATATATTAAACAGTAATATAGGAAGCATGATGATATACAATATTCACATTTAGAGAAATAATAAAAAATATCAATCTGCGATCTATTAACTAATTTATCTGCAACAATATCACAACGTTTAAATATTCCTATTGAGCGTTTCACTTATAAACAAAACTCATTCCCATCACATGACGAATAATCATAAGACGCACATTAAGTTGATGTCAGTAGTAACTCCACGTAATGTGAAGACGCCATGCAACAATTAAATACACCATCTGTCTTTCACAGGCCTTGCCTTTGTAACATACTTTTGTCTGTCATAAAACATTAGGCTTTCTTTCTTTCACTGCCCTTTGTTTCACCATGTTAGTAATCCTACAACTCAAAAACAACACGTTTTACAGAGAAATATTGACCAAAACAGCCCTTTCTAGATGCATGTAAATCTACACAACTCGAAGAAAAAAAACGTTAAATTGTGGGCGTATGTTGAAAACCGGAATTGCGCACGAAATTCGACAGGAAAAGTGCTGGTTTTGATTGCACTCGTTTTGAAGCCAGTATTAACAGAACCCAGCCTAGCTCTTGCAAACCCCATTCCCATACCATACACTTTGCATTATGTCTTTAGGTGATAGTTACGCGTCACTGTGGCCTATACACTGCATTATATGTTATAACCAGAATCCTTAAGTAAACAATATCATCAGCTTTACAAGCAGTTGGTATATAAATTCTACTGACACAAGATTTAAAAAAACTAAATTTCCTGTCACGTGCCAGCACTAAGTGCGCAGTAGGGAAGGGAACCATTACGATCAAACGCAATTATATAAACGGTAGAATAGTTCTTTAGTCAATTTCTGCAACAGACGGTATTTTTGATAGCCTGAAGTTTAATAGTCAAATTGCAGCCATTTCACAGAGTTCCGTAAAAGTTCATTACTGGAGCATGAGGCGTGTTTTAAGTGGAAAAGGTATAGTCGTTTTCCATTTCGCGTGAGCATATTTATTCATATTTCCTATAAGTGTTATCCCCGATTGGTACCTCATTTAACAAACTAGCAGATTTGAAGTGCCGACGACTTCCTTCTAAACTGTAAGCCCTGTAATTTATTAGAATATTGCTGCAACCTATGAGAAAAACCACTGAAGTTAAAAATGAATATCAACAATATCCATTACTGTGAGAAATTGACTGCAAGATCTAAAGAAACGGCTTTTCTGGACAAGCAAGGCATTAAATTTGCCCACTTTTCTAACACAGTATCATGTACAAATCAAACACACCCCTCCATGATGTGTTTGTTCACTCATACCGATGTAAAATCATCTGGGGCATTAAAAACACAAGGGCACCAACGCTACGCTATCCATTGCACAGACAAGGTCTGTTTTTTGTCAACATAGGATTGCGGATAAAAACAGAACCTCTAACTTTATTAAGCAAGTTGCCCGAGTTTGTTTAAAAACAAAGAAGGTGGAGAAATCGTCAAGAAGCCATGTAGTGAATTGTCTGTGTTAATTTTCCGAATTTACAGCTTCCAGGATCCCGGTTATTTAAAACGTAGACTTGCCCTTTGCCATATTGACTGCGTCTTAACTGTGGCAGCACCAAATAATAAATCAATCTGGTTATTCCAAAATATGCGGCTGTTCAGTACCCCGTGTTTCAGAGGATTTACTGCCAGAAAGCAATTTCTCACCCAGCGCTTGTCTTAGGTTGCCGCAACAGTAAAGCGCGGTTCTTTAACACGCAGGGTACCTAGAGAAAGCCTGCAGCTTTCCTACACTGGACTACAGAGGTCTTCAGGCGTGTGGCCTCTTGGCGAAATCATAACGCACCTGCCTGGTACCCCACTGTGATTTGAGACCATAACAAGAACTTCTTGAACAGGGAAAACGACTGTTACTTCCCTAAAAATTAGTGTTATCTTTCCACGGAGGACAATATCGCTTGTTATGATCTGAATAGCGAACACTTTTCTGATGCTTAACTTTAACGAATCGAGTGTAAACTCTTCGAAAAGATGCAGTTCTGTCTACTCAGACAGGAACGAGATGACCTCCCAAGATCTTGATTTCAGACATGAAACAATTTAATACCCTCTGTGCAATTAACAAGTAACACTAGTCATCGTAAGTATCCACAATGAGCAAGAACAACCTCTCACACAAGACAAGATCTTTTACTTGGGTTAAAAATGGGGTGACAGGCACTTGATAAGTCCTTGATGGCAGACACTTAAACATTTAACACTTTCCGTGTTATTAACAGCGAACGTTTGTCATCGCCTTTCAACCAGTTTCCTTTGATAGTTCACTACAAGGGCGTTCTTGCATGTTTATATGTACATTTTGTGGGGTATAAAATTAGACACGTTTGATTTTGATGTCAAGCTGTGTGATGTAAATAGGCTATAAAATGTAAACAATTCAATCCATGGGACCTGTCCAAAAATAGTTTCGTATTTTCTTTTAAACATGACAGCAAGGTATATATCATCAGCCCTCTTAATAAATGCATACCGTCTTATCACTAGCTCAATTTTCGGCCATCTTGCCGCATATCACCTCTAGAATCTTGGCGAAGTATATCTTTTGTCATCTTTCTGACATCACTGCTTCATTCTTTATCATTTCCTTTCCTTAAAAGTACTATTAATAAAACCTCTAAAAAGATTTCTCATAAACCTATTTTTTTTACAATTTTGATACTTCTGTATTAACGTGGCACTTATGACATATCAAACTTATTAATTACTTAACTACACCCCCCCCCCTTCTTTAAAAATGCACAAACAAATGTATCATGCATTTAACAAATCAACAGAGTAACTTATGAACTGAAATTTGGCCAGAGCTGGATGGCGGTGACATTCACATATTCAGCCGACACACTGTCTGTCCATATTGCGTGTAATGACAACATCTATTGCATCTTTCTCGACTGAGATCACGAAAATATGTCGTATCAAGCATCAAGCAAAGGCCTCCTTTGCATGATAATCGAGATATCAATTCAACGTCCATTCATAATTTTATTAATGGCTACTTGTATTCATCTCGTAACTTTCCCTCTCGGCAAGATAATTAAGAAGATCGCAGAGAGATGCACCATTGTACCATTAAGTGTTCAAATAAAAATGAGCTGGCTTAAGAACTGCAGTAATTAAGACTAGAACGAAGCCCGTGGCGATCTTATATGCTGGTCATACTAAATCCATAGTGTCATGTACATGGGATGCAATCCGTAATTCCTTTATCTATTCATATCCTTGTCCGATCGTGGCAAGTCAGAATGAGTCATGCAGTAAAAACATATTTTGTTCATCGTAAAAAAGCAGAATGGTGTTAAAAACGCAACAAGGTATTAAACAACACACAGTGCTGCGGGTAACTTAAGTTCGTTACCTCAAATAAAAATAAAATGCGTTGCTGGCACATGATTCATGCTGTTCACATGGTGACCGTTGATTAATATCCTTCGAGTTATATACCACGGGTAAATATGCCATGTGTTTTTTCGAAAGAGCAAGTTGCTGGTGGTTTTATTCCGTGTCATGGCGTAAAACCTTCTAAACGCCTTGCTGTACCTTTTACTGGAAACAGTTTGATAGTTTAATCTCCTATGACCCAATACACTTACATTGGATCGTTCTCACAGAATGTGCTCGGTCAGCTTGCTACACTGTTTAGTTGTCCCGATTGGCTGCTCGTGTGACCATTTTTCTGTTGTTTTAGATGCCAAATGTCCCTGTCCCCCTCCCGAGGGGAAACAAGAGAATGAAGTGTCACCAACCGATCTCTGTCACAACGCTCAAGTTTTGTCACATGCTCAAAACAACATGGCTGTGAAATGTCATTTTTCTTCGGTGGCTTGTAATGCCTCCGATTAGATCTGAGTTTCTTTTCTAACTCTTTCCTTTTCTTTCCCTTTTTCCTACTCACATTCAAGAGATCGTCCTCGGGATCGGATATTAAATCATGATAAGTCCTCTGAAACTCCGCCGCGGCGAACGCATCGTCAAAGCTTAGGCCGACGATCTTGGTGTGATCTGTGGAGAGATGAAGGGTGTGAAAATTTGGGTGTGGCGACTTATAGTTTGTGAGATGATCGATAGAGTCCCTCCAAAGAATAAACCCCGTGCCTCTCTCAGCTAGAATGATATGTAGTCGCCGCTTTCTGTGCCCTTCCCCCGTGTCCAGTAATAACAAGGGGATTCCCGAATGTGCTAGGGTCCAAGAGTCTACCGTGGCGCTGCCTTTCAGCGTCCCAAAGTACAGATTAGCAAGACCTTGGCAACATATCACGTCCGTTTTCAAACTTTTATAGAAGGACTCCACTTGTCCGATGTCGTCTTCGGTAATTTCATCAACCTCCTCCAGGCCCGTCATGAGTGTGCTTTCTTGTTTCCCACCTGCGGCTGTCTGTGCCTGCTGCGGCTGCTGTTGACAGAATACATTATTCTCCACGAAGGCGGTTTTTACCTTGCCTAATGAGTCATACTTTTCCGTGATCACTTTGGCCGCAACTTCGCCATCTTTCTTGGTTGAATGCTGTTCATGTTGCGGCTGTTGTTGCGAGGTCATTATATCAGCCGGTTGGACAAGAGAAGAAGGCGAGGAGTAAAGGGGTTCTTTACCATCTGCTACAGGCGTCAGCGGAACATCAGTGAATTCCAACACACGGCTACGTCTGTTTAAATTCTTCCTCTCCTGCGTCCCGGTGGGGTCACCTCCCTCTCCCGTCTCCGGTGGTGGCACGGGGATGTTTTGAAAGTGCAGTATATCCAACTCCTCCTCTATTCTGGACAGCCGCCAGTTTTGCATGACGCGTTTGATATACGACATGGTTTTTATTATTAACAAGATCCTGACCTATGACGTAGCTTTCTAGCTGCAGGAAAAACCATTAAAGGGGCAAGTAAAAACACCCCATTTACATGCCTGAAGGCGGGTTTTAATAGAAGATAAAAGGCTTCGTCGGAGTGGTGGCCAACTGACAAGAAATCTTCAGGTGTAAGACAATTATCCTTCCGTAATAATGCTAGGTGTTTTGTCCAGTCCAATCTCCAGTCTATCTCTCAGAAAAATCTGAAAAGATAAAATATACCGCTGCTCAATCAATGCATCAAAGCTACTTACTGCCTCTCTCACATACTCTAAAAATAACCTGAGACGGAGGAGAAAAAAAAAGGATGAACCAGACCACCGTAAAAACAGCTGCCGTCAGTGTATTTTTATCTTTTTTTAAAGATAAATTCTAAAATGTCAAAGTTACTTGGCTCCTGGAAAATAAAACGATGGCCCCTTTATATGTCAGTGTGCATAATCTAATGAGTTGTAGCGGGAGAAAATCTAAAATTAACATTGTCACGAAAGGAAATTAACGAATTTAATAAACAAAAATTCAAACCTCATATTTAACCGCGGTTTACCACTTTGAGGAAGAAATTGATCTAAATGCTCTAAGTGGGGTCGTCCTTGTTTTATCAAAATCATGATCGGAATAAATAAACAGTGAGAAAGTCAGAATGACTTGGCGTTTACAACTACTGCACTCTTTGCACGGTAAATCACTGAAAACAACAGACACTAAAACCCAGTTAGCTGGCCCGTGACGAAATGCTCAGACTGTTCAAAGCACATTGCAACAGTTGCGATTCTCAGCACAATATTACCAAACATGGTCAACCAAAAACACCACAGGAAGCTTTTTACTCATTTAACCCAGATGCTAAAGTAAGGGTAATATAAATGTATTTCATATTACTGATTATCTTCATTGAAAATAAAAATTAACATATTCTTCAGCAATGTACGCGAACTAGCAAAAAAAGCAAACGCGTTTGTAAGCATTTAAAATGCTTAAAACTAGAACCGAATGAACTTGTTACCGATTATACGCTATTTACTTAGACCTTACTCTTCTTTTTTCACCTTGAACTTTTTATGTAGTTCTCCTGGAAATTTTCCATTCAGGAAAGGCACAACTTATGCATTGTTTATCAACAGAAATTAGACATCTGAGAAGTTTTCTTGGCGAGCTCTTGTCCTTTGCGTCTTAGCTATCTCTTTTTCCAGGAATCGCAAATGAATCGCATACAAATTGGGTCTGTCTGTGTCCGCACTAGTGATTACTAATCTGTCAGATTAGACTTTGAAGATGTACTTTTATTAGTCACGTACGTTTTCAGTTTTTGATGTATTTCTTTGAGATCAATTTCAGATTAGCTTCATTATTACTAAGAGTCTTGAACATATTTCAACGCACACAAGCTCGATTGTTCTGAACAAAGCCGGGATTTAAACAAGGAGAGGATGGTAGGAGATGGCAAAAACAGCAAGAAAAAGAAGCTAAACAAACAGCCGCCCGTCAAAAAACAACTGTCAAAAATACTAAACAACACCTACCATTTAGGGCAGCAGTCCAAGTTTTTTCTATTAGTAAGCGCTACCTCCGCGCCGCAGTGACATTTAAAGACGTTATATTTAGCTACAGGTAACCCTTGTTAAACTCGGAAAAAAGTGATGGCGCTATTGGCTTTCAATTAGATTCTCATTAGGGCTGTCTCTTGGACTGTTTACCCGGAAAGTGGCTCCCGGGGTGTCGAGGGCGACGGGTCACCAATTACTAGGTAAAACCCTACCAGAAATTTTGCTCCTGAGGTTGTCAAAACAGAAGCCATCTTATTCCTTCAAATAGACCGATGATGGCGTTAGTACAAAACTGTTTCCTTTATTGTTTTTTTTTTCCAAAGAATTAGACAGTGAATAGAGGCCAACATTGACAGGCAAAAAATTAATTACTGGAAGCCCTATCTGGTTCTCATGACCAATGTTGAGGTTTATGGCATCATCCTGATGATGCGTCAGCGTATTGAGGGGGCGAGACGAATATGACGAAGGTCGTATCCTACAATGCGTTCTTTCCATGGTTACGCATCTTCATAGTAGCTATACACCAATATAGCGTCACCAATGAATGTTTTACACGTTTGCCGTAAGATTTGATATGTTATGAAGTATTTCAGCAACTTTCGGCGATTGCCAGTTAATTTTTTTTTCGAACGAGATACACGTAAAGATCATATCGGAAATGCGGCGCATATAGCATTAGGATACCTTCAGATTCCGCTACAAGAACTAACACGCTGCGACATCTAACACAATCTTGGCAGTGGTTGATCTTGCCTCTGCACCCTTCTGCCTAAGAAAATGCTTTCAAACATCACAGGCGAATCGAAATGGATTTCAACAGCACTTCTGTTGTGCTCCCTTAGTTGCGGTCAACTATGGCCGTACTTGACCAATGTCTACTGTCACCAGTGCCGATTTCATTTGCAAACGTTTCACTATGACAGCTGATATATTTAGCTGTCTTTTAGGCAAATCCTATTGAGAAAAAGAACTATCGGCAGTAAGGTAGACGCTTTGGTAGTATTCTAAAAGGTGCTTAGCGAATGAACAAAACATAAGGCAATGAAAGAGATGAGCGCAATCATAGATGAGCACAATTACCATATAATATTATCAATCAGCCATTAAAGAACCCAGAGTCATTAAAAGAACAAGCTGAAATCGTCATCTTGAGGACCAAAGTAAATCATCTTGGCTCACACCTGCTGGGCTGGACCAGTTTAAACACATATACGTTACTTTGTAAAGAGCAGCTGACAGTGCGCTGGTGTCAGAGCGAACCAGACTTGAAACTGTTTTTGACTTGTGCAAACGGACCTTAAATGAGTCATCGTCATTCTAATTAGCATGCTCCTAGAAACCCAGGAAATTGATAAATACGAATGCTAAGCAAACATTTGATCTCTTATTCCATCTCCATCAAGGCATCCGGGGCCACTTAGTTTCTTTGTCCGTGTTTTATTTAGTCCGATTTCAGTATCTTTCAGTGCGTTGGGTTTGTTGAAAAAAAAAGCCTACCTGGCGTTCTAGGCACGTTGTTGTATGCAAAGACAGTTTTGCTGTGTCAGTGTTATAAACGAGTAAGCTTGCCATTTCAGTGTCCAATTCTTATGAAAATTTATGCTATTCCTTGCTTTATGAAAATAATGCTTTTACGTGTAGTTCTGTTAGGCAAAAGGTGGAATAAAGTAAATGTGCTTTGCTAGGTTTTGGTCATATTATGATATTTTTCTAGATATCATTTACGTCAACACTGTACTTAAAGTTAGATTTCATGACATCTATATACTTGTCGCCAGTCCTTCACTGGGAATACTTTGCATATCACCTGCGTGCTATAGATGTCTTGGTTGTGCCAAACCAGCTGAGCTATGGACAAGTTTGAAAACTACGACGGTTTTCTGACAATATGTGTGGTTAAAATGTGCTTTGATCTTTCACATACCTGTCCCTGTCTACAGTGTTAAAGGCTACTTGTAAGGTACTTAAGGTGCGGTTGATCACGGTCATCACGAGAGCGGCGTACCCTGGCGAGCAGTGGCTAACTACAATGCGATGAGTTTTGTCAGTAAATGCTTGTGTTTTAAATAAAATTTACAGGTTTTTGAACTTATAAATGGGCAAAAGACATCAATTTTCACTACTATACTTTAAAAACTGAAAATTATTTCATTATTTGCAAGGTTAATGGTCATTCAGTTTTTCATACAAAATAAGTCTCCAATTTCTTTTTTCAGTCTTTCTCCTGTATAGATAATACTCTAATAGGTAAGCCACCTATTTATAAAAACCTTAAAACCACGATCAACACAAAGTACTGGATATATTTTTCCTTTTTTTGCTAAACCGCAGACAGCAATCTAACCATCCTACCCAATGCCCAATACAGGTTTCTCGCTGAACGTGCCCGTTAATGGGACCATAAACCTCGGTATGTGACAGGGTTATAAAGGCCGGTAATAACGTTAGGTATAATCTTTCTAGTTCCATGGGTCAGTTGCTGTAAACTTGTCACACACTGACACTGCCCGGTGACACGCACAGCCGGCATGTACCGAAATCTGGGTGCAAGTCCAGGAATGTCCCACAACCGGATGTTGCCTTGGTCAGCTAGTGGAACATTTATCTCTCCCCCCCCAGCGGTCCCCCTCAAATCAACAAACCCTTCTTAGTATACAAATACCCTCTACCAGGGCCGTAAAATCTCTAACGCGAGAAAAGTGCCATGAATTAACGAAAGACATGTCTCTAAATATCTAATGAAAAAACAATCTGTAGCTCTGGAAGACGGTAGCCTAGTAAACAAAACTATAATGAACTAATTTGTGTTTCCACAGTTAACCTAAGCTGTCGCCATGGGCGTGACACCAGTCACTGGTCTCTGCAAGCAAATACATCCTCATATATTTTTTATACCGTGTGCCAATATTCCCATATATTATACAATGATATGAATGAAGACAACATACACCAATGTATACTGCCATTAACCAATACAATATCTTACTCATAATACCTGGATACCCTTTAAAAAGGTAAAGCCAGACAGGTAACAGCTGGAACATATCTCTCCTTCAAGGATTACTGTACAAATATGAAACCAAAACACAACCTGGTGAGTGAATTTACAGATTTATACGTGAAAGTTACTCACGAGAAGTTGGGCATAAATCTTAGCATACACACACAAAAACTTCCCAAATTAAATAATTCAGGGGCGCATGTAATTACTCAGAAGCCGAGCTTCTTTGTCCGCCTTGTGTATCTGTAATCCATTACACCATATGTCGAATATATCACTTGTGCACACCTGGCCCGCGAAACCTTTCATCTCAAGAAATAAAAAGGAGGTAATAAATCAAGTGCAACTCGCTCCACGTGGTACTCTTACATTATGGACGCTTACGTTGTAGTAAGTGTCCAGTGCTGGTCAGTTATATCCCGTCTGACCTCAATGAAAATACCGCATTAATTATGTATAGCATTCAAAACGCATACCTACGCTGCACAGGTATATGTAGATGACCACAGGAATGAACGTAGTTATCTAATATCGTCCGGAGAATTGCAGCCAAATGCAAAGGGGCCGGTGTGTTAAAAGTAAATGCCTAATATTTACTGTTTGGAAAGCTGGTCCATTCATCAAGAATTTGTGTCTATATGCAGTGTTTGGTATTTACATTTTAGGGGTATTGGAGAAGATCTAAACTAAAAGCGTAGTTTGCTTTTAGCATAGCTGACACAATACCCTAAATCCACGCAGAAGTCAGATGACCCGGTCATACATTTGTCACAACTCAAACACAAAATGTGACCAAAACATACAACTGATACTCTGCAGCTATAGCCCAGTTTCGTCACGTTTAGTATCAAATTGAAAGAAATTGACTGAGGCCCTGGTAATAGTCTATAAACTAAAGCGACTAGAGCAACGACAGCTGGCATAGGAAAGGAGATATTGAGCATGCAAGAATACATACCACTCCCCCTTCCCGCCCATATCATTTCTAGTATGCAGTACGTTCGCATAATCCTTACGTGGCTTCAACGTCATTTCTCTGACAACTTCAACTATCTTGAACATCTAACCTTAACAGTAAGTAATCTGCAAAACCGCTTAACGATACAGAAATAGAAAACACGCTATCTTTGGTGTGGATCGGAATTTTCTGAAACCGTTTAAAAAACGTAGTTGTCGTTATTCCAGTATGAGTAAATGTTAATATTAATACCCACAGTAGTCTGTGATAGTTTCTACACACACTAATATATAGCCATTATACTGTAACAGTAACACATGGACCCACGTGTCCGACACCGTTGTGTTAATCAAATTTTTCAACAAAGTGGACAACAGCAAAGCTACTTAAGTCCGCGTTCTTTAAACATCCCGGCAGAAACCACCTTTAAACGAACTATGTACCATGCTGCTGCACACAAATATGATAACAGCATTTCTGCATATGTACAGTCTTAATGTTATATGTGTACTGGTATGTAATATCATATGTATATTAGAATGGAGCATTTGGTACTGATATCCTGCATATTAGCAAGGGCAACGCGTGCATGCATACCTATCCCTATTAAAAAGTGAATTTAATTCCGAAGACAAGCATTTTAATGTCCAATTTAACCTGTTACTACAGACACATGAGCGCTATATATGTACTTATAATGTTAAAGCACTGCTCCCTTGTAAATATAGCCTTGAAAACAGGTACTGCCACTAGATTCCTGCCCAATACGTTCTTCAGGATTAATGCTAATATTTCTCCTTACCATGAACGAGTAGACTCCTCTACCTGGGGCCAAGGGTATTAAAAAGCTCCCCCTGTAACTCTGTACTATTCCCTCTCTGACGTTCACACAAATGACGGTTAGAGCTCAAGGATAGTAGAATGTTATTTTCGTCTGTAATAAATCACCCAAGTGGATCCTGCCACCCGTTAAACAGGTCAGCGGTGTGCTTTCAATATGTAATGTCAGTAGCCGAAATGCAAAGCAGCTTTACAGTTTTTCTTGCATCTGCATTCTCAGCTTCATAGGCAGGGAGAGGGGGGAGAGGGGGTGTGCCGAGCGAATCGCCCTCGAACTGCCCTTAAGCCAGAAAATATCTGCTCTAAAGCAAAATTTGAGCTCTAGGTTTATGCCAACGCGTAGGCTACACTGTAAAAATGTCTATTTTCCCCTCCTTTGAAATTAATGGCTTTAGGCCTGATGCCTATGCTGATTCTTTTCAGTCAAAAGACTTAATAGTTTGTAAAAAAAAAAAAAAAAAATCCGCATTCTGGTAATTGTCTATTGGCCTAATTGTCTATTGGCCTAATGCCTAATTAGACAAGAACCCCCCTTCCGCACACGTCTTTTGGTAACATCCCAGGGGATGAAAAGCACACCCAGACAGTGAAGTGGACTCGGGTTTGAATTGCCAATGTGTTTCACACTAAACAGTAAATAAACTTGCAATTTAAAGTCATCTTGGTGTAGGTAGGGGTGGGCTACGGGGTCATGTTACGAATTGATCCTATTAACAAACACAGACCATCATGCACAGACTCTGGGACTGGAGATGGTGTTATTGTTGCTGCATGGGAGTCGATGTTTAGCTGGATCTTCTGGCACCAGGAAAAAATTAAACAAATAAATGGGAACAAATTGCTAATCGGACCACACTTGGACGTACATTGTCTGACCTCCACAATGACCGATCAGTTTTGGTAACCTTTGGTCAATTTAGCAACGGTGTAAAAACTTTCCAATAGTTTCTTTTTAGCTGGAGTTACGACGCATCATGACTTTCCTTTTCACGGTTGACTCATGTCCTCTGAAGTCCAAGTTCTACTTCCTTGGTCACATGCAACCGAAAGTAGCAAACAAAAAATCTTACCACATTGATTTCAGACAAAAGGAAGAATATTGGCTACCTGACTGACAAACTGATATGCAACATTGCCAATAGCCTTTGGTAATACATTAATCAAATTACCGTGATTAGATCATGATATTCTCCAGGCTCTGTTCTATCTCTGTACCTGTTCCTGCTGTTATCGCCTAATGGATCATGTCTACGTCTACCAGTACAGGTAGGCCCATCCTGTGCAGCTACTGTGGTTCCATTATAATTCATCTCAATGTAGAATGTTTTAACATACTCAGTACTTAACACGTTTCTATTTATCTTCTGGTTTACCAACACAAAATACAAACCACATGTTCGTTGTTTTTATTTACACACCCCTCTTCTCCCCCACACACTGATTCAAACCACGGTCAGCCCCCATATGATGTTGGTCATTTGAATCCTGAGCATTCCCATCAAAAAGATGCTTTAGAAGTATGCCCTACTCATTTGTTTCAGAACAAAATGTTCACGATTTTCTATACCCAAGAAGTACTCACCAATCAGCGGGTTCCCTATTTGATTCCGATTAACAAGCTGACACTGTACAATTGGGTATCTGTGTAAAAACTTATAAGAGTTAACGCACAGACGTCCCTAGGCCAGGGAAGTCTTTCGAAAGCGTCCAGACAAGCAGTTTGTAAATTCTTCAAGTAGAAAACACAACTCTCGTTATCTTACTTCCACTGGGTGTCAACTTTTTTCCTTTCCCTAGTCAAGACATCAAAGAAGCCGCACCGTAATAATACGTATAGTGCGACCGAGCGTTAACTTAGCTGTACTATATACAATATTGACTGCACCACTTCCAGGGTGACTCATTTGGCTTAGAATAATATTGACAACTGTGGATTCCAGATCGGCTTTTCCGTGTGTATAATAGCACAACAAAACCCACGTCCTCTGCCTCGACTCGCGGTAGGAAATTCCACCATATGCTATTAAGAGAGAATGTGTCATTGCCAGGGAAGATGCACTAATTGATTAACACTTAACCTTTACCTGATAACAGATGGCGTAACATGGTCCTTTTTGTGATAGAAAAGGCGCAATGAATAGTACGTCCGCATGAGCCTAATTATGATATTGGGATTTTCTAAGTGAAAAGGTGTGAGGTTTGGTGTGTCATGGAATGAATAATAC